TGCGGTGATTTGCTGTTTGAGATGTATCATCTCATTGAGAGATGTGCATCCCTCATATTGGGTACTGCATCTCCCGTTGAAAATGCAGCATCTCCCAGCAGAGATGTGAGCGCTTCTCCAAATTGCAGGATATGTGACCCTGCTGAAATATATATATATAGTTCTTAATTGATTAATTTTTTTTTTGTATTTTAGAATTAAGTGGTGCACTTAATTTAATGAATTATCTTAAATTACTAATTGATCCAGAAAATATGATAGCTGTATCAATAATTGAAAAAACAGAATTTTTATCATTTTTTTATTTTCGTTCAATGTCTGTATTATTAGCACCACTTATGGCCAATACAATTGATCTTAAATTAGCTCGTGATGATTTTCATATAGCTCAATTACAATATTTAATTATTGATTTTCTAACATTTTGTATTGAACATCATACATATCATATAAGAAATTTTCTTCAAAAAAAAGATTTATTAAGACGTGTACTTGTTTTATTAAAATCTAAACATCAATATTTACAACTTAGTAAGTATATATATATGTTATTGGTTTTTTATTAATATAATTTTTAATTTCTAGGCGCTTTACGATTTTTAAGAAAAATTATTGGTTTAAAAGATGAACAGTACAATTTAATAATTCTTCGAAATAATTTATTTGCATCTATTGTTGATGCATATAAAGCTAATAAACGACGTTATAATTTATTAAATTCAGCAATGATTGAATTGTTTGAATTTATTCGACAAGTATATTTTAAAAACATTTATTCAATTGATTTCTACTTTTCTTTTTCTATTCTAGGAAAATATAAAAACATTAATTAATTATTTTGTCGAAAATTTCTACTCAGATTTTGAATCAATAACTTATGTAAAAACATTTCATGATTTAAAATTATCTTATAATACTCAAAGAGATAAAAGAGAACGAATACTTAGTGATAGGTAAAATATGAAACGTTTGTTTGTTGTTTTTTTTTTAAATGAGAATATATTTTCGTTAGATTACGAATGATAATTATTATTTTATAAATGATGAAAATGAACATTTTCAATTGATCAATCACTTTAGACTTTCGATTCAGTGCATAAGATAGACTCCAGTGAGATATGAAAGACCTCAAAAAGATATGTCTCTTCAGGTCTTCTGTCTAGAGTTATAGACAGTTTACTAGAATTTTAGCCTTACGCATAGTATGTATTAACAAATCGAATGATAGTATTTCGATCTGAGATTTTTCTCATAGACAGATCTATTCGTCAGCAGAATATCCCGAAAATTTCAGCTCAAAAGATTATTTAATTCTTGAATTAATACAGTCCCTAAAAGCAGAAAACTCCAGCATTTGTCTTAGAATATCAATGATTTTTAAGACTTTAATAGTTGGAGAAGAAAGCATTCTACTGAAAAATAGACATGTCTAAACTTCCTATAGATTTGGCTTGTTGGATCCCGAAAACTTTTAGTCTGTTTTGTTGAAATGACCTTCCGAATCGAAATCAAGCCAAGAGTACCATAGCTTGATCATGTGTTCATCATTGCATCATTTTGGAGCAAGTTGAAATTTATATAACCCTTCTGATATTTCTAGGTTGCTTTAGTTTTCTGAATATTATCCGATAGATCTGTTTTTTCTTGGAGTATCACTCGAACTTACGAGCAGACTCTAGAGCCCGTCGGGTCCAAACTTTTTGAACCCGGACCCGGTGAAACCTGACTTTGATATAATCAAAAAAAATTTCTAAATCCCCTCTTAAGATAGAAGAACCGTGATCTTCTATTATATCCAAGCATACAAAGTTTCTAGGGTGATCTTCAATTGTATGTCATTTATTTTTATAATTTTTAATTAAAAACACTTTTCAGAAAGCAAAAAGAGTTTAAGGATTTGAGAAGAGATTTTCATGGTTTTACAAGTCCAGAAATAACATTGATCGTAGTCTATTAAGGTTTTCAGCTCAAAGCCCTGAAAACTAGGCATATTTTTGACATATAGACACTAATTAAATGTCTAACTTTTCTAAAAATTAATTAATTTAGGACGCCTTTTGGTATGACTACAGCATTGTTCCTTCAATGAGGGTTTTCCGATATGATGGCTCGTCTAATATAGGGGGTCTTCTATTGAGGAGAGAGATTTCGTTGCTATTGGATAGTCACTCCGAGGATATCGGATATTTTTGTCCGTCTGTTTGCATTTGGTGACTAGCGAAAGCTATACATTTCTCATACCATTCGGGTTCACCGAG